CTCGAAGACTCCTTAGTCTTGACAAAAGCGGGCTGAATTTTTTGTTCGTCCGCCGATGGGACATGGGTTTGGCCGAGATTCACTGTTGTTAATCCATTAAAGATATCATCCATGCTGGGCTCGTATCTACTGAAGTTTAAATTCGTGTACACAAATGTGTGCATATATGGGTTTTAAGTTATGCTTACTATTTAGCCCATTCAATCTGTCAAAATAAAGCCGACTTAAAAGTATGTACTTAGTTTAAATCTCTTTAAATACAGTCATACATATCGCACGTTTAATAATATAGAGATTTAATTCAAAATTACGCATGTTAAGGAGTCTAACAGATGACTAAACTTCCCAACAATTGCGACGATATGCCAACTATATGCATTAATCAATATTTGAATTTTCCCACAAAATTGCGCAGACTGTAATTATTTATGAGCTTTAAGATTGGCTTTATTCCAACAATGATTGGGCAGCAGTTGTTACCTCTTGCAATCAAGACATTTGTTGGGCAACATTTCAAAATCCAATTTTCCCTTCAATTTCGTCCAACCTTCGATGGGAGTCAAGCAGCCATAGGCCGCAAAAAGATGTTGAAGTAGATCTTTTCTGTCGCCTGCACTGCGCCGTTGCACACCACTATTACCATCTTTGCTACGCAGCTCGAAAAACACTGGATCCTCATCTCGATCTTGCAACTTGCCGAGCGACGCCTTTGAAACGGCAGGCGATACTTCAGCGCCAACTAAATCCATTACCGGTTTAAGCAGCAAGTTATCCAGCCGATTACCCACGATACCGCTTAGATACAACGTTAATACCACTAAAGCGAGCTACATATTATGTATTTAAAACGGCAATTAACTTAAATTCGTCAGACTCTAACAAGCAATTATTGAATTATACTAAGGGCCGTTTTCTGAAGTAACCTTTAACTTTAAAGCTCACTATATATTTAAAGGTTGGATTAAAAATAAAGCTATGTCTAAAGTTAAGCATTTCTATTTGACGTATGTATGTTTCCTGGTTGTAAATCAATTTAAAACCGACAATAAAATGATTTACTTTAGACACAATCATAAATTTTAACGCAACCTTTAAATATAAAGTTAGCTTTAAAGTTACAGGCTACTTGAGAAAACGGCCCTAAGCACTTTAAAGATACAAACCATTTTGCTTGGAAGAATCGGTATTTTTAACAGCATATTTATTTTTTTATCATGCCGCACTTGTTTTTAAACTTTTCACATCGGTACTTTGGCCATATATCATGACGTTGTGAACGCGACT